AGTTCTGTTCTACGTTGCTATTATTCTACTCCATTACATTTCAAATGGATATATTGTGTCTTTTCTCTACTACATTTATTGACAGCTGTAGCTGCTAGTTACTCTTCAGATTAAGATTCTGCAAATGAAAATGTAATTTAACTAAAAACCAGGAGCTTTTTTATAGAAATGCTACCTAACAAAGCAGCTAAAATTAACTCCATCACAACCAGCTACAGCATGAAAATGCTGCTTACATTTTAGAGCACAAGTAATAATCCAGAGGTTTTATACCATAGCGTAACATGCTCCAAGGGTTCATTTTAGAGAGTGAGCACTTTGCTCTTAATCTGTTTGTTTAGAATAATTTAGTACATTTGCTTGATAATATTTCCATACCTAAGGTTTTGAATGCAGTGGTTTTGTGGAATTGTTTTTTTTAACATGATAATTATACTTTAACTTAGGTAAATACTATTCTGTTGTATTCTTCCTTTACCACTGATATTTTCTCACCTAACATTAGCAGTATCTATCCGTGCAGTTAGTTTGGTTTTTATCTCTCTGTAGGTCTGAATTATCCATTTGTCACCTCCTGGTACAATTGCAATGGAATTTCATTTGTTGTGCTCAGAAAATTACATTTAAGTGTTTTAAGATCAATGCATTTTATATTTTATATTATCTCAGGCCCTGATCTGTCTCTTAATAATATTTATTTTGTAGGAAATCATATTTGTCAAAGTATTGTTCATATATATTTTAGCTAATTTAAGACAAAGGTTATGCTTTCTATCTAATGTTTGCTACCATTAGGCACCACCACTGGCCATTAGGCCATAAGTAACACAACCCCTCAGGCTATTCTAACAAGTGAGGGTGTGTTTACTGCTTATGACTTTCACATTTTATTTGTAAGAAGAGAAATTAGTTATTTCTTCTTTCAAAATTGGCATCTCCCTTTTGTTGGATTTCATTTCCGTTACTCCAGTGCTTTTGTCATTTTACTGTGTTGTACATGTTGTTTGTACATTGTACAGTACAGTTATGGTTTTGGTACATAAAACCAAAACTACAGCTCAGTACTGCTTGAGGTCAGCATGCAAACATTCAGTGTGATCTGGGTGAACCCTTCAATAACTTGACTTATGACATAGCAAAAAGTTTGCTGAGTGGCACAGTACAGTCCACGTGTATCACAGTAATAACGGTGCTGCTTATGAGCCTCTGCTCCTGCAGCACTGGCATTGACACTGCACTGCGAGGCAGGAAAAGCCAGGCCGTCAGGGATTTGTCAGAGGCCTGTTATTACATCTCTAGTCACATAAAATATGGCTGGCTCTCCAGAGATCCAACTGCCAGATAAATCCACTCTCCTCCATCCAGACTGGCGCTCGCAATGAAACCATCCAATGGTGTGCTTCAACCAGTGACCCCTGGTAATGACATGTGATTTATAAAGTACACCTTTTAAACAGAGAGACACATCTGAGCCAGGCTATCTCTCCCCCTCTCCTCTCTGTATCTATATCTGGTGTCATGTGAGATAACAGGAAGGCCTTTGGGAGTGGGGAGACATGACACCCATCTTTGGGGTCTCACAAAATGGCTACAATGTGGATAGTTTCCCCTGCAGCTGTCTGATCTCAATCTAAGCCTGCAATGAGCGCTGTCTTCTCCCACACAGGTCGCTAAGACATATTACAAAATGACACTTTAAGCCAACAGACCACAATGTGGCAGGGCTCAATCAATGCCTGGTTGGGAATAAAAAGAGTTATGGCATTCTTTACATGAATATCCAAAATTACAGCGCATGGTAAATATAGATTAAACTAACACAACTGGATTATGGCTAACCAGAGAGTTTGGGGGTTTATTAATGATGTAAATTTAATATCAAGCCATCAAAAGTACAAAAGCATCCACCACACGAAGGGAACCAACTACATTGTTTTACAATACAATACGACACGATACAATACATATCCCATGCGTCCTAGCTGCATCCAAGAAACAGACACAGGGTGCAGAGTTACAACACACAACCAGCATTGTATTACTTGAATTCATGATTTTCAGGACTCCTAACTTGACTTGTACTCAAGTACTGGCTGCATTCAGATTCCCAAGTTGAAGACAAGGACTTTTTTTGTAACAGGCCATAATAATTTTAGTTAAGATATTGCTAAGCTATTGCAACCTCTTCACCTAAACCATGTTGTATGTGGCACACTGCTATTGAAACGTAGACTCTGCCTATCAAAAAATATTCATATTGTTCACACACATACACTTACGAGTAGCTATTGTGTCACACACGGTAAATAAGCTCCTTTTAAAATTGTGTATCAGTTGTGTTTAATGTAAACCCTGATGACTTGGACTCAGTTAACGGGGACTCAACTTGGATTCAACTCAGGCTACTTTTTTTGGTGACTCAGGCTTTGGTGACTCGAACACTGAACTCAGACTCAAGGTTTAGTGACTCGACTATAACACTGCACATGACACATATAACACTTTTCCCAATCATATATAAATCAACATAACTGTCCATACAACACACCACCTCAGTGTACAATACAAATGTAGTAGACATACATAACTCAAGATATTCTCTACGTTTAGATCCCATTTAACTGATATTTATTAAGTAAAATTAAATTAGTATTAAGCAACAGAGCTGACTGATGAATAAAATAATTCTTCACTGTATAGCATCTAAATTGTGGGACTTTAAATTGCCTGTTCGAGGGCTGACATTGGAAGTCTACATATATGTAACATTCACTGGAAACCAGAAAACATGAGTAGATAATATATCAGAGAGAATAATTTTGCAGACAGCCAGGGTACTGTCCCCAGCCAGAAAACATCCCCTGCACAGTCTAGTAGCTTAAAAGATTAAGTTCTCTGGCTAAAGGGGAGCTGAGAGGCAAGCAGTGTCGCTGACCTTGGCGAGCCAGACACAGAGATGATGACACACCACTACAAATATCTGTCTTTAATAAACAGGCCAGCACAGCACAGAACACCAATTACACTCCACAGCTCAGCTGACTGAAAACAGACATGTGATGGAAGGTGAACAAATGATTCCCACTAATATCCTGTAAAATATATGCTGTATAAAAGATTAGCTAAAGAATATTATAATATTGTTGGATGCATATTACTGTCTGCATTATAAATGTATTATGCTGTGAGTAGTGAAACATTTTCACTTTAGACACTAATAATTAATTGAATTATCATTTAAGCTAAATTGTGTTTGCCCTCATATTATGCTAATAGATGCATTAATGAAACTCTTTGAAATATTATTTGACAACACTATGAAACATTTAAGGCAGAATTGGCCCATCACATATCTTTTTAATTAATCTGTCTTTCTGCTAATTTTTCCAACACTTGTCTTTCCAAATGATTCTACTAGGGGCTTTATTAAGAAATATACATTTAGTGGGTGTTGGGAAGGTATAAAAATAAAACAAAAATAAAAAGGAATTCAGGCAAATGTGTAAGAAACATGCTTAAAACCTAGCAGGTTTTATTTCTGCAAAACATCAGATTCATCTACTTCTGAAATCAGGTTTGACTCCCCCCACCTCCCCCCTCACCCCCTCACCCAGCAGCAGCAACTATAAACTGTGCTAGCTTCAAACTGCCTGGCCTCTGTTAGCCTTCATCAAACAGCTCTCTTTTTTCCTTTTCTTTCATTCTCATTAAAAAACGTCGGGACATAATTCTGAAAGTTTGCTTAAAATGAACAAATAATGTTTTAATATGCATATGATAGGGGGAAGGTCGATGGCTGTCCTATCAGAAACAAATAAAATGTCTTTAAGTCACTTTTGTTGTTAGATTCTTTTCTGTTCATTGCTGTTTTTAGTTCCTCACTGTAAGAATCCTGTCTATAAAGTCATGTAGAGGAATGATAAAATAGCCTCGAACATTTGTATTTGAAAGATTTCAATAATCAACTGTATTAAAAATAATAAAAGGCCATTATGTACAGTGATTGCCCCCCTAAATAATCCCACCACCATCATCGTCATCATCATCATCATCATCATCTCTCTGTTTTAATTTCACTGGCGCGTCCATCAGTGACGTGAAGCTATAATCACTGTAATATTGACTTACAGCATCCTGATTTGACATTCATTATGAAAGTAAATTAATAAATAACAATATCCTAAAATAAGAACAACAACAGCAGCAATAACAACAAACGACAACAAATGACTAATAATAATAATAATAATAATAATAATAACAGCCTGGTATAGGATTCAAATCCCCTAAATTCCTCTAAATTACTGGCAACTTTTTCATATTTATAAAATGGTCATTTCGATCGAAAAAACACACATTTTGTCCTGGGGCGTAAACTCGTTTTCCTATATGCAAATGCCCTGTCTGCGATTTTTCACAGCAGCATCCAAAATAAACCCATCATGTCAAACCTGGAGGACGCGGGGGAATTTGAGAGGAGGTGAAATATTTCTCGGATGATATAAAAGGAGCCCTTGCGCCTGAGTTATGGCCTGGATTTGGCGTTGCTGAGAGGGATGCATGCTGCTCCTTCTCTCCCGCCCCAGAGAAGGTATCATCAGAGCTGATATATGGCCCAGCTCTGCATCACCTTTATAAAACAAAGGATCATCCACGCATTGGGTCGAGGAAAATATCCTTCTATAGCTGCGACATCTTAAATAACCCCTCAACAAACTTCTCTTTTTGACAACACCCGAGTATGACGTTTTACGCCTAAAAACGCTTAAATAGACTACGAATTGTGATTTCTCGCCCTCATCTCTCTCTCTCTCCCTCTCTCTAGCCCTCTCTTTCTATCGCTCTGCTTCCCCTCATTTACCCCATATACCTATTCTGGTACAGTATCTCACCACAGGACTAAATTAGACCAGAGATGATAAGAGCACAAAGCATTATAATTCCGCCGGGCTCCTCCTCCTTTCAGCCATGCGTCCTAATTAATGGGACACCCCCAGTCGCAAAAAGCCCCGCACTGGACTGCAACATAGTCAAAGAGTGAAAGGGAAGAGGGCGAAAGTACCACTGGAGATAATTGATTACCTACCAATCAATGATAACTTGTTAGTAATCGTCAACTCTCTGGACCTCGCCATTTTCAGGGAGGCATCTCACTCCTGCGGACTTGCTGCTCCCGAGGATCGACACTTTGAAGACATCCTGTTTTGGATTAAGATTTTCTTTTCTCCCTTCTCTCCTCAGTAGCTTTGTGTTTTTGTTAACCCCCTAACTGTTATGTGACTTTCCTCCCCTCGTTTCTACGCGCTGAATTTTTCAACGAAGTCCTGTATAAACTGCGTACAACCAATGATGACATCCAAAGAAGTGGCCAAATGTGATGCAGTGGAAAACAGGAGGCGAAGTCCGCTGGACCAATTGCCGCCTCCTGCCAACTCCAACAAGCCGCTGACCCCCTTCAGCATCGAGGACATCCTGAACAAACCGTCAGTGAAACGAAGTTACACGATTTGCGGCACTGCTCATCTAATTTCATCTTCTGAGAAGCACCGTCCGTCCAGCATCCCTTTATCCAGCCGGGCTCTCCTCACCCAGACCTCCCCGCTCTGCGCGCTGGAGGAACTGGCAAGCAAGACCTTCAAGGGACTGGAAGTTAGCGTTTTACAGGCTGCGGAAGGTACACTAACATTCTAAAACAAAACGAAACAAAACCATCTAAAATACAGCTTTTTACTGTTATTATTACGCCATGTTTGATATTTTTTCTTGCTCGTATAATTAAAGGCCTGTGCCAGACAGAAAATGACATATTTTTGCTACACCCTGTAATTTGCATTCTGTTATTTTATGTGCTTGTTTAATAGCCAGAGCTGCTGTGTTCAGAAATGCACTTTTCCTTTTCCTAGTCTTCCCGAACAAAGGCGTGTTAATTTACTGTTCTTCAATGAAATAAATCACCGCCGCTTTTCTTTAATATTAGGGCCCTAAGTGTCTGCTGCTGAATATTTCCCAGAGGTGTATGTTTAATATTCCTGTAATTAGCTTTTCCCATAAGGACTAAAGGCTTTAGTCTACTGTTTTACAGATAGCATCACTTTCATTATGGTTTCTGCGTTAGGATGACTCTTACGCGCACACCGCTGCGGTGCAGATGAAGCTCTGCACCTGCATGAATATGTGATTTTCAGCCTCTTCCTCTCCCTCACAGGCCGGGACGGGATGACTCTATTCGGCCAGAGAACCACCCCGAAGAAGCGTCGGAAGTCTCGGACGGCGTTCACCAATCACCAAATCTACGAGCTGGAGAAGCGCTTCCTGTACCAGAAGTACCTGTCCCCCGCTGACCGGGACCAGATCGCGCAGCAGTTGGGCCTGACAAACGCGCAGGTCATCACGTGGTTTCAGAACCGGAGGGCCAAGCTAAAACGGGACCTGGAGGAGATGAAGGCCGACGTAGAGTCGGCCAAGGCCATCGGCCAGGTCCCCTTGGACAAGCTCGCCAAGCTGGCGGACCTGGAGAAATGCGCCAACGGCACGCTGGGCCACCCACGAGCCGAGTCCCCCGCGCGGGGCGGCCAGCAGGAGCATGAGCTCGCTCAGAAACTGCGGACGTCGCCGCTGTCTCCCTTCTCAGACCAAACAACTAGTAAAGAGTGCTCCGAGGACGAGGACGTGGAGATTGATGTGGATGACTGATGGCGCAGCGTGGGACTGAGAGGTCGAGAAACACAAAAGACGCTGAAAAAATCCTTGTAACTTACTGCTTATATTGTATACCATATCTCAGAACATGTACCAAAATGTAATGACTTTTATATCGGCACAGATAGACCTATTCATAGTGACGCATGAACACAGAGCAAGAAATATGCAGTGGTATTTTACAATGTATTCATTAGCTAACTGTTCCTACTTGCAATCAAAGCAATATGGTCTGAAATGACACGAGTAACTTATTATTTTTTTACACTACAGGCCGACACACACGCAGACACACCCTCACACGCAAATAGCCTACACTACACTTCACACACCTGTGCCATAAGGCCTGTCCTCACACACCACAATGAAAGTGCTCCAGTTCCCCATATTTTTGCATGTAAATGCATGATTTGATTTGTGATCATAATCTATTTATTTTTGCTTATTTTTCTTTTTTTTTTTTATTTAAATGGTTTTGTGTTTTCTGTGAGCCAAATCGCCATAGAATCATCTCGTTACTGCCGGACCTCCTCCTCCTCCCTCGTCATCATCTGACTGTAACCCTTGACTTCAGTTCATATTTGGCGTCCCGATGCTGCAGTGCAGGACGATGTTGGTCGGAAAGGCAAACTCGGACATCCATGCGTTTGTTTGGGAATGCTGGAGCTGGGGGGGGGGGGGGGAAAAAACAGTTCGGGTGGTTTGATTTTTGACAAGCTATAGGCTACTTTTTAGATTTATTGTTTGGATACAATAGATTTACAGTTATAAATTTGTTATGTTTTGTACACCTGTAAGTGCCTTTCTAAAATCAGGACATTATTTGAAAACCAATGCACAGACTGTAATGTATATAGGCTACTATGGGAATAAAATTGCTTTTCTGAATATTTCTTTTATGTTGTAATTCTTTGATTAATATCGAGGGTTTTTTTTGTTATGGATACAATAGCCTGTTTTTTTCCTATTGAAGAAAAAATCATTTTAAAATAAAATCACGCTCTCCTTGCCAAATCCGGGCGTGTAAGCATATCAAAGGCGGTTTATTTAGAGTTATTATACTCTGAACTATTTTGTCCCTTTGTGTCCTTTTCTGCTAAGATGCTCTAAACATTTTGCGGTCCAGAATCTCACATCTCCTTTCACGTCCTAAATGCGTATCGTGGCTTCTTGACCCTTAGACGTGTTTCTCCATTCGTGGCAAAAATTTATGTGAGAAACACAAATCTGGTGTCGGGGGGGGAGAAAGGAGAGGATGCCACAAAAACACAAAGTTTTGGGCCAGTTTCTCCGGGCCTTTATAGACCTTTTTTGTTCTGCTGGACTGGGCCGTAATTTTGAGCGTAAAGCATGAAAAGTGGGGACAAATGAGCAGCGTTCCCTGATGGGACGAGCCACAAAGGAGCAGGGCCGGTCCCCCGCAGGCACCAATACTGAGACAAGTGTGTCCCACCGCACAAAAAGGACGCGAACGTTTGGAGGCCATATGGTTTTTGAAATTTCCTCACAATTTGAGACAATTTGATGGATTGAGTTAACCCTCCTTTTAAACAGTTTAACTGGGTGCGAACAAAGGCCATAATGCCTACACAGACTCTCCCTTCATGAGGGCATCTGCGACTATTAATGTCTAGCCCTTTTCTTTGACTGGCGTTTTGAACAAGTCAATGAATTACAATGAAACTGTCCCTTTTTTTGTGCGCCGCTTGTCCTCCTCCGCTTTTTAGCTCTGGAATAATATGTTTGACTTCTGTCCAAGAAGGTTTTTCTAAACAAGAAATGGATTTTGTTGAAAGTGTTTTTAATGTTAAGTAGAGAGCCATAAAGAGTTTGGACTGTGACATTTATGCCAGAGTCTGGTTAGGGAGCTCTTTTGTTTGTTTTCTTCTCATCTCTTTTTTTCTTCTTCTGCCTCTTTATTTCTTTTGTCTTTAAGGAGTTTAATGAAGCTGAAAACATGGTGATGTGAGAAAGAGAGAGTGTCCAGCAGAGGAACTCAAAAGCCTACCTCCCGTTTAACCCTCTTTGTTAAGAGGGATGATAAGTAGAGCTGTCTTCTTGTGAATTGTTTTATAGGGGTTTCTTTTTTCTTATTTTTCACTTTTGTTTTTAATAGTACAGGGAAACCTGAAGAAGTTTATAGGACTGTAAGCACATAATATGACTGAAGCTATTCTAAATTCTCTGTAGGCACATTAGTCTTAATAAAAATATTTATAAATAACACTAACTTCCCTATTTTGCATTTATTAGCGATACATAATGGTTTATAAGACACTATGATGTAATTATAAGCGGCTACATGGAATGTATTTGTTAACTACCTCCTCCTGTGGAGGCTGCTATAGGCTCCTACAAATGAGTAGCCCAGGTTTTATAAGCCTGGAAGAAGTTACAAATGGTGACAAATACAAATTAATAAACAATTCATTATATTTGCTTACAATTGTATTATAGTGCATTCTTTACTATTTATTAATTGTTTAAATCAGATAAATCCAAAACGGGGTCTTGGGCGTCAAAGTAAACATTTAATATTATTTTTGTCAAGGTAAACCACGATTTTAAAAGTAACCTCCAAAAAAAAAATTCAATTCGGTTATTTTGTAAATTGCCCTGCAAATATGAACGTTCCGAGTTCAAACTTATTCTTAAAACCGATTCTTTGTTTTGCGGCGTGCGCGTGTGTTCATGCGCGTGACTTCCGCAGCCTATTCTGGCTCAAGCATATTTATGAAAGGAGAGGGTGTTAAGGCAGGCTAAGTTTATGGATTTCACTTGCTTATTTTATGAGGGCTTGTCAGGCGGTCCCGGTGATAAGTAATACTACAGTCTGAGGGACCACTTCGTGGTAATTAATCTGGAGGTCTTAAGTGTATTTCAGGATTTTACTTCAAGATGGAAAAAATCACTACTTCAATCGTCCGGAAAATTGAAGTTTGATGCATGAGTCCCTACTGAAACAATAGTACAGCCCTCTCTCTTTTCACCTCTGTCCCCCCCGTTTTGTATACTCTCTCTCTCTCTCTCTCTCTCTCTCTCTCTTCTCTTATTTGCACCTTGTAGAAAACAGTCTCAAGTGCAAAGTGTAAATTTATATCTGAGTCACTGGTCACGTGACGGCATTAACATTGCAGTTATTCATGTTTGTTTCTCAAAAATAATACAAAACATATTAAAAATGCAGAGATTTATGGGCTTCCAGTAGTCCCTCAGTTTACTATTATTATTATTAGTAATAGTAGTAGTAGTAGTAGTGGTAATAGTACTAGTAGTAGTCCTCTTAGTTATATTGAGTAAGTATGAAAAGGAGCTTTGTAAATGACTTTATGACTTTATATTTGCCTGGAGTTAAATCACTCTATATATCTAAATAGAACTGAATTGTAGAGTTTTAATCATAGCCTTCCTGTGGAGCCAGTTAATACTTCAAACTTCAATTTTACGGACGATTGAACTAAGCATGTTCCTGACAGAATTGATGTATGTATTAATTTCCTTTAACTGTTGATTAATTAGGCTGCGCTGAAGGCTCAAATGGAACGGTTTGTTGGGAAATTTGCATATTAATCAAATTCTAGTTGATCATTCAAATAATCCAGGCTATGTGAGTTTGGTATGTAGCTTGAAAACATAAAGCCAGTAAACACAGTTTATTTTCTCAGACACTTTTTACGAGAGAGAGAAAGAGATTCTCTTTTAATTTGAAAAAAAAAAATTCAGAGACTGTCATGATGTGGAAGTTAATCTGCCCCACTGCTGAAGTCTCTGTGGCAGCAGCAGGCTTCAGATGTGGCTGGTGTTTGTAGGATGATAAATACAACTTAGAACCACCAGAATCTTACAAAGGGTTCCTAAAGGTATAAAAAAAGGTTCTAATTGACACGTGAGAAGTCACGAAGGTAAAAGAGGCTGCAGAAAACAGTGCGGAGGTAGGTACAACATAATCCCATGCAGATGATTCTATCTAAAAAATTATTATTAAATTATTCTTGATATATTTGTTGTATGACTGGATAATGAGAAGCAGGTTTTCCTTTGCTAGTCTGGTATCTGAGGTCAGAGGTGCACCAACATTTGCTTTGTATTTCTCAGCTGTGAATCAAGATTGTTAAGAAAATTCCAATACATTAAACATATTTCTATGAATCATTAGTGGCACATATAACTATGATTTCAAATACTCCGAAAACAAAACATTACATATAAATATAGTGTTACAAAGTATACTAGATAGTGCAGACAGGAAATAAAGGTCTTTTTTTATCTTTAAAAAATAGATGTGGTGGAAAACAACATTTTTATAGAGCAAAATACCAAAATAAACAGATGAAAAAATGAAGTCAGCATCACCAGCACAAACAAATCTAATGGTTTCATCCTTTAAATCACATCAGACCAAAACACATATGAAAAGCTATCAAAGTGATTCATACATAAATATGAATACAAATACATAAAAACACATGGAGGACAGTGGGAAAGGAAGAAGATGATGGTGACAAGCCTCAAATTCCAGTCTGCTGCTTTGCTGCTGAGGATAGAGGTGAACAGAGACACCTGCTGGTGTTTACAGGACAGTGTGCCCCATACAGCGAGCAGCTAACCAGCCATGGTGTGTGTGTGTGTACCTTTGTATTACTTACATCAAGGGGACAGAAACCTGTTAACATACAACACTGTGAGGACTGAATCACTGAATTTTAGAGTGGCAACATGGTTTAGGGTTAGGGTGAGGTTAGCGTTAGGCAAATAATGGTTATGGTTAAGGTTAGGGTAAGTCTACAGAACATGAATATAAGTCTATGTAAAGTCCCCACAAGGACTGAAAACACAGCATGTAGTGTGTGTGTGTGTGTGTGTGTGTGTGTGTGTGTGTGTGTGTGTGTGTGTGTGTGTGTGTGTGTGAGAGAGAGAGAGAGAGAGAGACAAAGAAAGTATGTGTATATGTGAAATATGATATATGAAAATGTCTAAATAAATAAATACTGCAAAGTAAGATTAATCATAATAGTGTGAGACATGATGTTTGAATCATAAAAATAATAGTCAACTTTCTCTCTCTCTTTCCC